GAGGATCGATTCGATTCCGTATGGGGCGAAAGAAAGGAGAAAAATTGATTTAAAAACGCATGTAGGAGAGTGTCTCCTGAAATACAGATGGCTCGATATCGCTGGAAATTGGTTCCTTTAAAAGATATAGAGCGTGATCTTTCGATACGGTGGTTGGAAGATTTTCGAAAATTTTCCAATACTCGAGTTAGCTGGAATTCTTCGATGCATTCGTTTTCTTTTCTTAATCCGGGATGATACGGTCGTTTATGTTGAAGCACCGGATCGTAAACGCGTAGGTGGAGGGTACTCTTCTTTGAAATTTAAACAACTTGCACTTGCAAATTTCCACGGTTAGTTCGATTAGGCTGTTTGTTACGCTAGGTGAATTTAGCATGATCTTTAGCACGAATTTCGGAGCACTGCCAAACGGTGAACAAAAGCGGAAAACGAAGTGCAACGGGCTCATCTCGTGTCCAATGGCTGCCTTTGTTTACGCTCGCGATTATATAGATCTTCTCGTTATTATAACGTACATAATAATATCGGTGTCGCTCAACGTCCGATGTTCCTATCGTATTAATTTCTGTTATCTCTTTAAAAAAACTCGCTATAATTATCTACGTGCGCATAACGCGCTTTTCATGGTCTGATGTGTTTTACGCCCGTTTCATTCGGTTTAACCTGAGTCGTATCTTCACTGTATACATACTTGCAATTTTTCTTTTTTCAAAGATACGCCACAAGACTATCGGATAAACAACGCAGAAACGAAGAAATTCTGCGCATATGTACCTCCTTCTTTTACCTCGTATCTGCGCATTGTGTTCATAAACAGATAGAAAATGAGATTCGAGTTATTTGGAACAAGAATTATTATGCGGTAGAAACACAGCGAGCAGGTTGGAACAAGTCGAAAATCGGTAAGCAAAAATTCAACGTTCGGAGGCTATCGGATAAGGAAGAGAATAAGGAAGAAAGAGGAGCGATACGAGATTACGTGCATCGAACCGCGTTCGCTGTTTTTACGCGTGAATATTTGCGATGGAACGCACTCGCGCCACCAAAACGAACACTCGACTCGGTCACCGTATCTCGTTGCGAACTTATCGAACGATAAGCAGCTACCTAGAGACGCGTCTTCCAAAAATAAGATACAGCCAAGGGCGTATCGCGTATCGAGTCTTTTAAAACGAACGTGTGTTTGTGCCTTCGCCACGGACAGACTCGGTAAAATCGGCCGTTGATTCGCACGTGCAGTTTATTTCGATACACAGCCGCGTGTAGTTTTCGCGTGTATTTCGAGAGAGTTTAGTGATTCCTCCATCGTGCGGAGTGGCGCTGAACGCCGGACGATCGAGCGGGAAAGAGAATCGAGAAAACAAAGATGGCCTACGAAAGGCGGAACGACAGAGACTGTCAGACTGTTCTTAGCGAAACGCTGGTTCAACTGATACTGTAAACAACAGCAACAACAACAGCCACAACACAGGCAAATGGTTCGTAACGGTCTTGCAGATTGAGTAATCGTTTCCGCCCCTTTCTGATGTTACTCGTACACCTTGACTATGCGGGTCAAATGCACGAAGGCTCTCAATGAAATCGAGGCCATTATGACATTCGATGGTCTGTATGCGTACACGCAGGATGTCTTAGTAATTTTAATACAATCGGAAAACGCGATTCCACAATGACGAACAAGGACGAAAATAATACATTTTTAATACGTGGCTTTGTTTTCGCGACAATGATATGGGTACGCGCGTATTTTAACTGTGTCACGGTCGAATAGCTTTCGTTATAGTTGGTATCGCTACCTGGCACTGATAGTGGCACAACTAAAAAGCGGAAATTTTATAGCGGAGGCTTTTTAAAATTTACATGGGAAGTTTCGTGAGTCATTTTTAACGGCGTTATAAGACTGATATAACGAGACAAGATATGTCACTGTTCGCGAAAACGGTAGAACCCTGCATTTGTAGCGTCACAAAAATAAGAGAATATGAGCCAGGCTAATAGCGGCATAAATAGGTGATAATCTTCCCTCTCTGACGCAAAACTGATGGAATTATAAATACACCGTTTTACATAAGAAACATAGAAACGTAACGTAGACGTTCTGTTCGTTCAAAACAAATTCGAAAGCTTTTGAGTTGTTCCATCATCGATATACCTGGCAGCGATATATCGTTTATAAACAGTGTCATAATTATTCAGACATTTTTTTTTTTATTCAGACGTATGTTTTTAATATTTCATTTTATCTAGTACCTTAACATTTTCACTTCTAATCGCGTAACCAATTATCTCTGGTTCGATCGAACGGTAGTTAACTCGATCGATTTAAAGTGGAATCTACTTAACGATACGACTTCGTTTCCTTTTCAAACGCACTTTTCTTCTCACGGACAATCAGCCATGTCGATAATATCGATCCTGTCGAATACCGTTCGCTCGGGTTTATCGGTCCACTAATCGAATCGATCGTTTTGATATCACGGCGGAACACCGTTCGATCGTTTGGGACTATTACACGGGACATGGAATTAACTTCTTTTCGCCGCGATAGTGCATTTCGCGTTAATTTCTATGTTTATCGTTCGTTCTTCCAACTTGCGCGAGTCGTTCGTGAAAGCACGCAACAATGAAATTCCTCGTACGTACATAGGACGCAAGAAAACGTGATACTTCCGGCTGAGTAATACGTTGACCGACCCGATATTGCTTTCGCAATTACCACGCCAAGAAAATTATTTCAGCTGACCATGTATCGCGGAACGCGCGAAACGTCCGTTAGTTTCGTTTCTATTTGACTGCGTGGCCGAGGCATGTGCGTTTGTTCCGCGCGTAACGTCGTATATCTCCGGTTTATGCGTAGCCTCGTATATCTCTGGTTTATGCGTAGCTCCGTATATCTCTGGTTTACGCGCAGCCTGTGCGATTGCAACGGAAAACAAATCCACTGATACTGACCAGAATCGAGGATGCTCGCGGGTCTTCGATGTAACCTGTTCTTCTATGTAATACAATTCTCTCGTAGACAGCCTCAGGTGAGAGCCGTGTAACGCTCAGCTCGCGTATAAACACTTGCCAAAACAAGAAAGTGGTTTATCGTATGTTGAATAACACGACGCATTACATGGTCGTAATTCGATTTTCCTTTTCAACGATCGAGCTGCTTCGTAGATCTACGCCGGTATCAAATGACGTCGATTGATAAAAGCGTTCGACGAAGGTGTATGGAGCTTTACGATAGCCATTCTTCGAACACATCAGCTATTTCTTAACCGTTGTAGCTACGATTGTATTTAAAATTCGAAAGTAACGTGTCCATCGGATTATACGCTTTAATTTCAAATCTATTTTTCTTCGGCGTTACGATTCCTCTAATATGGACGAAGATCGTGCTTTCGTTTAATGGTTTCTTTTCATGCACTTATTTCAGTTCGCTCGTAACGCGTGTACCTTGCGAAATATTGTTCACTGAACTTTCTCCAAAGGCAGGCAGTTAGAGTTCCGTTCTTCTGGCTTCGTTCTGGTTATATTGCTTGTTTTCGAACTCGGTTTTTGACCTCGTTCAACGATGCGCGGCTGCGATTCCTTCGCGGTCGTTTGTATTCTCGCGAATTATATCGCCTCGGATCGGCATTAATTTCATGCGAAAATCGTGGTGGTAACGGCGACGGACGTTGAAGCGGCGCGACGCCACCAGCATCCTGGAGTATCGAGCTAAATAAGAGGAATTAAAAATGAAACGTCGTCGATTAAAATTAAATGTAGCTTGAAATTCTACGGCGCGTGCTTGATAAGCTCAGCAACCGTCGTTCGTTGTGTATTATTAAACGCGAGCGGAAACTTTTGTTTTCCTTTCTTCCGTCGACTTTTTCAACCGTTTACCGCTTTTCCATCCTGAAATTGGATGCGGATTTGAAAGGAACTGTTCCGTTCGGTACATAAAGCCCGAGCCACGTAAGGTATTACAAACTGTATTCTTCGCGACAGAAGCTGTTCCTATTTTCGTGCTTGATCTTTGAAATAATAACGTGGCTTTGAAGTAATATGGGCAAAGGGATTTTTTACCGTTTTATTCTCGTTTCAAAGTTCTAAAGCCGTTTAAGGGAAAAAATCGTGAAAAATCTCTTTCAGTACACCAATATCGATAGCAATGTCAAAACAGAGTTCTCTCGACGTGTTTTCGTGGAAACAATTTGCCGCAATTTACCTTATTTCCATCCACTCTTTTCCAAATACAAGGTATTACGATACGTTTCTTCAAATTCGTTATAGTCAAGAAAACGATATTCGATATAACTAGCTAAAAATATATACACCGCGTCTCTCGCGTAACTGGGACAAGATGTATCTTTAAAAGACATGTAACATCGATTAACGTAGCTTGATGTAGTATACGATCGTAGTACAACCGGATAGAAGGTAATTCCGCGTGAAAAAAATAAGAAAAAAAAATTTGCTACAATGTTTTTCCATCGGCGACTATAAATCTATAATCATGTATAGTCTATAACTTATCCGAGTTGCGCGAGACACTTTGCATCGTGTATCTTAATGAAGATTACCATCAATGATTTTTCTCCGGACGAGAAAATTTGTTTAATGCCGCACCAATGAGTCCAATTGAATCAACATTGTCCAGCTAGTTTGTTTTCGAAAATTTGTAATCCCAGTTGCGTCAAGAACGCACGCGAAGCGTTGCGATTTGCGATCAACTCGACTCTGCTCGGTAGTCACGCGAGCTTCGGTGCGTTTCATCGATTCACGAAGATAACATTACGCCGGACTTCTGACGCGCTTCTGCGTTCGCACTTCTTTCCACATCGATTTCCCTCAGTTCATTGCACCGTTTTCTCGTCGACGCTTAAATCTTTGTTCAACGATGTTTTCGCTTTTTATTTGCACGGCCGTTGACCACAAATTGCCTTTTGCATCGCCGATATTATCCCGAAACACCGCGAACAAATTTTCTTACACGTTCATTTTCCTTAACTATCGACCAATTACAGAATAGAAAGTAAGCACGAAGTGACGATATTAGGAGGATTAAACGAATTTTCCGTCAAATTCTACGGACCACGGGGAAGTAAGTACTCCATTAATTTCGTATAATTTTTATCTTAGAATGTAAGTTGCTTCGACCCTTTCGTTCTCGAACTGGTTGTTTAATTCGCTACAGATATTTCTCTGTAATTTTCTCACATGAAAAATATCAGTACGCGTACGAATATTTTCACACCTACAAACGTACAAGGATTGTTCGCAAATGGAGTGAAACTTATTTGTAATTCTATGATTAGCTTGCGATGAAAGTAATATTTTAATTTATAATCTTAAATATATGGTCGCACGATTATCACGAGAACGAGAGGGTTAATGGTTTTAGTGTTAAGACAGGCAACGTATGAATATATTATTGCATATTGATATTCAACTCTTAACTACAACCTTTAATCGCAACTCTTGAGTGAAATAAAAATACGATAATTCTCTAAAGGAAAACAGAGAATTAAATGTATAAATTTTTACAAGTTACAATCGCAATGCTCGACGTAATTGAAAATTATTGCCAGTTTTTACATCCGAGGTATACGCTCCATAACTCTTCGGTAACAGTCGAGGATTGAAATAACACCAGTATCTTATTCGTCTAATCTTTATTGTCTAACGTGGCCGAAAACTGACGTAGAAAAGATTACCTCGCATTTTCTTCTCTGTAGTACAAGCTTCTAACCGATGACGAAGGAGATAGTAAAGATTAAGAAATAGGAAATGCAGTAGATTTTCCTACAGTAAAAATAGACTGACGACTGAATTTTTCTTTTTTACACGTTTCTAATACCAAAATAGGAAGCCTTTGATCTTTAGAAAAGATCGACCTTGGTGTAACCATATAAAACGAGATTTTTTTTAAATGAATAACACTTCGAGCGTAAGAAAAAAAATGAAAAAGTACCGGCACACTTCCTTCGATCACGTCGTTCAATTAACGTTCAATGAGACGCGTTCATACCTAAATATCATTTGCAAATAGTCAATCAATCTTTTATAATCGATACATATTACAATTAAGAAACTCGGAGGGAAAGTATAGCGTATCTTTAACTTATTTAATTAACGTTTCTAATTGATTCAATTTCGTTCGTTTTTCGCGTTAAATGAAAATTCGTAACAAACGTCTAGGTAAATACAGATGTCTGAGCATTTATCTCGTTGTTGACGAAAAATATCGTACTCGTAACGCTCCTTCACCGAGTAGTGTCCTGTTTCAAAGCGTCACACTGCCAAGAACCGTGTTCTCAGTTCTGGAACTATAATTCTTCGATGATTTAATTATTTTCAAATCTCCTGGCTAATTACACAGGTGCGTTTAACATATATACATATATCCTACCTGTTGTCGAACGTTGTTGCGTTCGTTTATCGTTATTGCGTCGAACATAAATTACTTAATTTCCCTTCGTGCACCGTTATCGTCGTTTCCTGGTAACCTTGCGCTGTGGCGAATAATTTATCCTCGAGGAGAAGCGTGGCTCGCGAATCCGTCGCGTTTACGTGTTCATTGTACGTTTCCAGCATTTGATATTCCAAGGTCGCCTGCTCTTCGTACACCGGATACACTTATGTAACAGTGTGTGCATTTACGCTTTCCTCGGCCTGCCAGCTGGTCGACATGCATGCAAAAAGCACTATCGATTGACCGACGTCCAGTGGCAAAAGTTCCTTGACATCGCTTTCGACGGGTTTGCCGATCCAAGCACTAGCCCTGATTCCTCGTATTACCCGCTCGCAATCGAGTTTCATTCAGGTGGTCTGTTTTGTTGTGACCGATTTGATTAAAAGGCCAGAGGCTGAAATTGACGGTAGATACAGGCCTTGAATCGCTTCTTCGTTCGCACGATAATAAGAAACGTTCGTTTTAGTTGCCAGATTCGTTGGAAATGTTGCTATGTTTACTAATCGTCGGATGTTTGTATCAGATGTTTGGCGATCGAAAGGCAGAATTTTAATACGACTTACATCAGTGGAGAAAAGAATTTAATGTAAATATATATATATATATACACACGAAAATGTAATACGTTTTAAAAATGGCTGGCAAATGCAAAAAGTTTTGTATAAGACTCGCAAAATAACGTTATAATGATCGGTATTTTTAAACTGTCGAAGAATAGATCGAGAATAAGTAGGTACATGTGATTCTTAAATCAAGTAAAAAAGCAATTTAGGCGATATGGGATTAGTTGAGGGTGTTATCGAATTTGAAAGTTTCTATAAAAGGCATTTTCATGTATTTCTCTCGTAGTCTTTGTATTATACGAAGCTTATTTTGCTTATTAGCTTTCATTTGCTATTATTGAGTCAAAGGAGATTCGGTATAGTCTGGATTAATTTATGCCTATCCTTCACTCTCAGCCATACCGTGTATATTCACTATCGTGAGTTATAATTGGCCTACGCGGTGCAAACACACTAAAACATTCTATCGATCGTTACGTTTTCGGATTTAGGTTGTTGTTTATCATCGTTGGAAAGGCCAGCGCGGTATGTTTTTCCTTTTCTCGATGGTTCATAAATTACTTACGCAATGCGAACACCGGTCAAGAAAAACAGGTACAAGCAGTGCATACTACTTAACGAATCGGTGTGTCCGGGTCGATCGATCCATCAATGGTATCTAGGAATGTCGTGTCACGAAGCCACGTTTATAAAATTAATTTTATTGCTCGTCGAAAATTTCGCTTTTACTCTGATCGTTTGTTTGTTACAGGAATTGCTCTTATTTACGATTTGTATGTTTAATTGTATTATATTTAACTGTATTATATACAGGGTACAAGCGGAAAGGGGGCGATTCTACGCGAAAAAAGAAATAGAAAATGTAGAATAAAAATTTTTCGTTCGAGGCTCTGTTCTCGAGAAAATCGACTTTGAATTTTCGTTCGGTACGCGTGCACTTTATCGCGTCTCGTTATAACGGATCTCACTGTAGATCGTTGTCTCGATGGAAAACTTAAAAAAAAATTTTTTTTATTCTATATTTTCGACTTCTTTTTTCGCGTAGAATCACCCCCTTTCCGCCTGTACCACCAGTTACCAACCACCCTGTATATAACTGAATTGAACGAATAACTGTATACCTGGATATGTCTAATTTCTACCAATAATTGTTATACACAGTGTGTTCAATTTATCTGGGAACGTGTAAACGTCTGTGAAATTATGGGCGATACGGAAAATTGTTTGAAACGAATGTTGTACGATGTCAAGGAGGACACGTCGTATCTACGTATATTTCATTTTGCAACGAACCTTATAAATGTCATGTTTATACTTTCAAATGGAAAGTATATTTTCTTATTTTGTATTCTTGTAGCTTACATCGGAATATTTTCAAAACATTGCTTATCTATTTCTTGTATCTGTCGCATAAACCACTATCGAGATATAAATTCTTCAGAAAGTTGTAGTCTTCCGCATAGTTGTAGCCTTTTTAATGCTGAAACTATAATACCGAAAACGTAGAAGGAAAAACGACTGGTTGTTTTTAGAGGCGGTATTTACAGGTAGTATTTAGAGATGGTATTTAGTATAAACACACGTACATGAATAATCGGCTCTTTTTAGAGCCACCATGATGTACAAAGTCCGACCGAGCAACCTCCCCGCGGTGTACATTGGATAACGCCAATGCCGGCGGCATATCAAATTTGAAATTTAATATCCGTATAGTAGTTTGCGCGTATGATACGAATAGTACTTTGAAAACTGTTTCGCTGTCGGCTACGGGACCATGGAATAAAAATATATAAATTGCCACTTGAAAATATAAACGTGATCTTTATAGGGCTTTCCAAGGTCATTGCAAGATAAAATACATATCGGCACGGCGTGTCTCTGTTGACATTGTACGTAATTTCTTTCAGATATTTTTCCGTATCTCGCAAAATTTTCAAGATATTTACACGTTTCTAGATAAATGACTGTACACGCTGTACATATATGCTTGGTTATCAGTCGTAGGATGTATAGCAATTGAAAATAGGAAAACAAAATTTGTATCAATCATTATTTCACTATCGTCTAAATACATTCTTATTATTCATTTCTATTTATTATACGTAATACTCGGCTATCGGCTCAGGATGGATTTTCGCCTTTGCACTTGTAAATACATTGTTTAAAACAATTAAAAGATCGTTGCTGCGAATGGTTCTATTAGCCCAAGGTCTCACAGCCTCGAAGAATTAATGTCGACGAACATTATCGAAGACTGACTTTAAGATAACTGTTAAAGAACTATACAGATACAAAAAGTGGATAGAAAAATCAAACGGACATCGAAAACACATCGACTGTTTTGCACTTTGTAATGCGGGTCAAGAGATCATGTTTGATCAAGCTCATGAACAATTTATGTTTACCGATATAAAAGTACATTAATAGAATAATAGAAGAATATTTACGTACGTATAGATATGCGTATAATTTTAAAGTGACGTGGACTGCAGAGGATCGAGCGATCACGGAAAGAATTCAAAGCCGTCGGAAGTTATTTACAAACTTCAGCGACCACACTCGCGGCTACGAGCTTGCTTAACACAACACAATGTTGCTAATTGCTGACGGAGATAATTCTTCGTTGATAATTATTGCACTCAGATAAACTTGAACGACGTCGATAAGCCAGCCGTCAATCGGCTCGAAACCATCACAGGCACAACCTTAATTAGGAACGTCACGGAAATCGACCTGATTAATTATTTGTTCCTTTCGCTCCGCGAACAACAGATCGCCGATTGTTTAAGCGCTCCCTTTTTCCCCTGAATTGTTTTAAATTAATTTGTCGCGCGTATCTCCTCTAACGTTGCGATTGATAATCCCTAAACAATCCGTTTTACGTATTCTCCACGATAATTTAATCTATAACCTTGTCATTCCAACTTTTAACTTCTCTTCTGCCGAACCCAGAAACCTACAGTCGTTTCTCCGCCGTACGAAATTGTTACTTAGAAAATAAATAATACTAAAAACAATAGCAGCGATCGGATCAGAAGGGACTTTTCAACCTTTCATGAGTCACTG